AACAAGTGCTGGAGAGGGTATGGAGAGAAGGGAACCCTCCTACACTGTTGGTGGGAATGTAAATTGGTGCAGCCACTTTGGAAAACAGTATGGAGGTTCCTTAAAAAACTAAAAATAGAACTACCATATGATCCAACAATCCCACTCCTGGGCATATACCCAGAGAAGGCCATAATTCAAAAAGACACATGCACCCCAATGTTCACTGCAGCACTGTTAACAATAGCCAACATATGGAAGCAACCTAAATGTCCATCAGCAGAGGAATAGATAAAGAAGATGTGGTACATATATACAATGGAATATTACTCAGCCATTAAAAAAGAATGAAATAATGCCATTTGCAGCAACACATTAGAATCCCAGCTCCCAAGTCACTAAACATTCCCAAGCCTCAATTTCATCACCTATAATATGGAGATAATATGTATACCTTCCAGGATTGTTGTGAAGATCAAACACAAGTAACAGAACAGGAGGCTCAACGAATATTAATCCTTTCTTAATCCTTCTCTTTCTTCTTATTTGGATAAGAAAAATGATACAAGGAAAAGAAAGACTAACTATATAAGTTTGAAGTTGACACAGAAATACTGGATAAGTTGCTGGGGTCTCAGTTCATCTTTGTTCCGCAAGAGCAAGAATATGTGAAGGAGGAAGCTATGCTTATTTCTTCCTTTCTTAGGTCTCTGAACTAGCTTATAGTCTTCCTGCCACTTTGAAAGTCTGTGCATTTGAGCAAGATAGCTTGTAGTACTGGCAGTATGTGTGTTGGCATCTTTTCTATTTTTCATTGTCGTCTTCAAAACCAACAAAATCAAACAAAACCAACCCAAACTCATAAAAAATTAAGCTATCTTTGAAATTGACTTTACACCAAAGATTCAGGATGCTAAGGCAGAAGACACCAAGAAAAAAAAATGTCATGGTACCTTAAAAAAAATTTAGCAAACAGTAATCAAAACAGCATGGTACTGGCACAAAAACAGACATATGGATCAACGGACGAGAATAGAGAGCCCAGAAATAAACCCACACACCTATGGTCAATTAATCTTTGACAAAGAAGGCAAGAATATACAATGGACAAAAGACAGTCCCTTCAGCAAGTGGTATTGGGAAAGCTGGACTGCTGCACATAAACCAATGAAGTTAGAATACACTGTTACACCATACACAAAAATAAACTCAAAATGGCTTAAAGACTTAAATATAAGACACGACACCATAAAACTCCTAGAAGAGAACATAGGCAAAACATTCTCTGACATAAATTGAAGCGATGTTTTCATAGGTCAGTCTCCCAAGGCAATAGAAACAAAAACAAAAATAAACAAACAGGACCTAATCAAATTTATAAGCTTTTGCCCAGCAAAGGAAACCATAAACAAAATGAAAAGACAACCTATGGACTGAGAGAAAATATTTACAAACTATGCGACTGACAAGGGATTAATCTCCAAAATATACAAACAGCTCATACAATTCAATTAAAAGAAAAAACCCAATTGAAAAATGGGCAGACAACCTAAATAGACAGTTCTCCAAAGAACACATACAGATGGCCAACAGGCACATGAAAAGATACTCAACATCGCTAATTATTAGAGAAATGGAAATCAAAACTACAATGAGGTATTACCTCACACTAGTCAGAATGGACATCATTAAAAAGTCCACAAATAACAAGTGCTGGAGAGGGTGTGGAGAAATTGGAACCCTCCTACACTGTTGGTGGGAATGTAAGTTGGTGCAGCCACTATCGAAAACACGATGGAGGTCCCTCAAAAAACTAAAAATAGAATTACCATATTATCGAGCAATCCCACTCCGGGGCATATATCCAGACAAAACTATAATTCAAAAGGATCCATGCACCCCCTATGTTCATAGCAGCACTGTTCACAAAGGCCAAGACATGGAAACAACCTAAAATGTCCATCGACAGATGAATGGATAAAGAAGATGTGGTACATACATACAATGGAATACTACTCAGCCATAAAAAAGAATGAAATAATGCCATTTGCAGCAACGTGGATGTACCTTGAGGTTATCATATTAAGTGAAGTCAGAAAGAGAGAGACAAATACCATGTGATATCACTATATGTAGAATCTAAAATATGCCACAAATGAACATATCTACGAAACAGAAACAGACTCACAGACATAGAAAACAGACTGTGTTTGCCAAGGGGGAGGGGGTGGGAGAGGGATGGATTGGAGGTTTGGGATTAGCAGACGCAAACTATTATGTATAGAATGGATAAACAACAAGGTCCTACTGTATAGCACAGGGAACTATATTCAATATCCTGTGATAAACCATAATGGAAAAGAACATGAAAAAGAATATGCATATATATTCAGCTATATATATTTAGAGCTGTACAGCAGAAATTAAGACAACTTATAAAACAACTATACTTCAAATTAAAAAACATTTGCAAATGCCTTCTTGGCTGGAATTGGTTGTTACACTTCAACAGAACAGATTTGAATTTTTTTGACAGTCTATGAACAGTGTTTTTGGATGGCCTTAGGTACCCACACAGCACCCCTATATCATGTGTCAAACTAAACAAAGATTTCCAGGGACTGGTAGTCTGACTATCCTCAAACATGGGAAAAGGAAGAGTAATTTGGATTCAGGTCGATTGCCAAAAGTCTTCATATTCCAGTTTTGACTCTCATTCAATGTCCTCTAAAGATTAAAAGATTCATTTCTGTATGACCCTTAGCCAAACCTAGAGACAATTGTTCAAGCTGGGAATATCTGAATATCACTCTGTTACTGAACAAACACAGACCATTCTTAAATACAGAATTTCTATTAGAGGAAAACCCCATAGCACCTGCCAAATATAAGCTGCCTTTGATCTTATACGTCTTTTCAATATTCTGTCCAGGCACCACCAAACTTTTCACTTAGAAGGAAGTGATTGTTTTACCAGAAGAGATTATTTATTTCTATATGCTGAAATCAAAAATTGAAAAAAGACCAGAAGATCCAAAGAGATGCAGAGACAGCCAGCACTATGACATCAGGAGAACAAAAAGCAAAATTTTGAAAAAAGCTCAGATAATAAGCAAAGGAGAATAAAATCTGAGACTTAAATTTTGTGGCCACATCTGGAAATGAGGGGCAGAAATGTAAAGCTCTCCTTCCCTTGGGGATGTATCAAGCTGTGTGGATGAAAAGCCCATGCTGGGCAAGGACTGGCCACAGCGCAAAGTCTGAGCTGGTGGTACTCAGGAGACTGTTCACTCCCATGTCCCCACCTAATGATTATAGCTGCCACTGACTTTGGATCTGATAACAGATGCCTATCTGTGTCTCACAGGCTTCTGGAACTCAACACATACCAGATTCTCTCAGGTCCAGGTTGCTTAGGTTTCTGGATGCTGTGGGCCATCCCCCAAACCTCTGGGTTCAGATCTGCTCTGAGGAGTTCAAGGGAGAGAACAGCAGCAGGTAATATCACGTCTTGCTCATCTTTGCTTCTCCCCAGAGAGGGAACAAGCAGGACATTCCAGATCCCTAGAATTCACACTCAACTTAATGTCTGCCTTACCCTCATCCCAACAGGAGCCTAGTCGACCCTCTAAGCATGACAACACAGCACCAAAGGACCTGAGTTTACATTGAGGTTGGCAGTGAGATTTAATTGAAAGAATGACCCCATCGGAGCCTTAGAACAAGCTGGGGTGAGAAAAGGCATATGCTATTACTCCCAGCTATCAGTTGACTAAAACCAGTCGAGACAAGTGGCTTGCAAAGTTTCACACAGGGGCAGATGACAGAACGGCTTAGGCCTTACCCAGACTCCTGCCGTCTAGGCCTAGTCCTTCCATTAGAGCAGGAGGCCTTTCCTTCCCAGACAAGGTAGGCCAGAGACTTTGACCCACCTGGAAATCTCAGAGACCATCTTAGCAAGTGGTGACACTGAACCAGTGAATGTGATGCAGCTTGACAAACATCAGTGATTTTCTTAAACCAGAGCAATAGCGGTAAAAAGATGTTTGCTTCCATTACTCACAATCAAAGATACTCTTTGGCTTCCTATTGGGCACCAATAAGGAGAGAACCTCTCTATCAAGTAACAGTAACCACACTGTATCAGTGTTTTGAAATAGGGTTTCATCATTAAACTAGAAAACAAAAACAAAACAAAAAACCCTGTCTTAAACCACAGGGGGTAGGGTTGATGTGTTAATATATACATATGTTTTTTTAAGTAAGCTGTGCACATCTGATTATAGGGATAGGTAGATGTATGAATATTCTTTATAAAACCTAGTTAAATGGACTAGTAAGCACTTTAAATTAATAAATAACAATGGTTAGGCTGTAACTTGTATGTTATTTAACAGTTGACAAAGCTCCTTCACTGGCAATGTTATTTCAGCAGGATACTTCAGAGCCCACCTTAATTCAGGGCTCAGTAAATAACCTTTCCAGCTAGATTGAAATTCCGAAGATAGCAGTGCAGTTCATGGAGTGTATTTCGTGTTCAGTTGCACTCCCATGCTGATGCTTCTGAAGAAGGAATTTCAGAAAAGGACAGAGTACACACTAAAAGTTGATATAGGTAGAAATACAGTAAAAGTAGAAATGTGCCTCATGAGAAAAGTCAAGTAGAAACATACCAGAATACAAAGTCTGGTGACATAATGAAAAAGGAGAAAGACCCAATAATAAGCTTAATAAAAATTATTAAGATGCTGGTGAAAAAGAAAGATGACATTTCGTAATCTCCCCCATCAACCTACCCCATAAATGTCTCAGCCAGTTAGATGCAGCTCTGCCAATTCAAAAATAACCTTTGTTACTTGTGTCATGGGGGTGAAGAGGTTGGGAGTCAAATATGAAAGGGGGAAGGAGTAGCCATGGTAGGGATGTGTGGCCAAGGGAAGCTCCTAATTTTCCTTGCACTCAGCCCTGTACCCCTCTGCTTCTGACTTTTCCCTGCCTCAACCGTCTCCATCTCTTTTCAGCAGGTGGGAAGCTTTGGTGTGAAGCATGCAGAAAATCCAGGAATTATGCAATTATGCAGCAGGCCCACGATGCAAACCTCTTCAGCACAAACACACATCCTCCACTTTGGCTTGATGTGGTAGCATAACTGTCGCCCTAATTCCTGATACCTTTCTCCCCCAAGCCGTCCCCAATGGAGAAAAATAACTAACCCGGGCAATGCAGAAGAGCCTTCCACACCCTGCCGAGGATTCCATCATCATCACAAGCAACATGTTGCTCTAGTACAATGGTTTTCGAAGAGTAGTCCCTGGACGAACCCGGGCAATGCAGAAGAGCCTTCCACACCCTGCTGAGGATTCCATCATCATCACAAGCAACGTGTTGCTCTAGTACAATGGTTTTCGAAGAGTAGTCCCTGGACGGGCAGCGTCAGCATCACCAGGGAAGATGTTAATCATTCCAGACCCACTAAATCAGAAACTCTGGGGATGGGGCCTGGCAATCTCGTTTTAACAAACCCTCCTGGTGAGTCCGCTGCACATGTTTGAGAAGGACCACTCTTGTCACATTAAGTCTGCTCATCTGTGATAAAGGCCAGACAGCCATCAAAAAACAGGCTGCAAAGACTCCCAATGCCAGGTCATTTGGCAGAGTTGAGGGGTGGGAGGGGTTGAAGCTAACGGTGCTAGGTAACCACCCCAGTTCTAGAAGAAATGCAAAATGGCATGTCCAAAGTTCTCTGGTCTGTGATATTACATGGCAAGTGACAAGCAAACTTGGCTTCTTTCAAAATGGGTGATAAATGTAACAGAGTAACAGCCTGTTTTCCTGATCTTTTGCCAGATTTCCAGGTCATTCAACTTGTAAAATTAGAAGTACCCTGGATTTTACACCCCCATATTAAAGTAACACACACCATGCCTTCTCTTACATGAACCGATAGGTGCTGCACTTCTCACAGGCTGCAGGTGTTCACGCAGAGAGAATGCTGAACCATTGTTCTGGTACTAAAAATGAGGCTATACCTAGAAAACATAAATAGGGGCTTGCATTTTCTCAGCCCAGAGGGTTTGCCAGATGCTATATTTTGTGTTAACAGGAATTAATAAGAAAATCTTACAAACCTATGTGCACCTGTTTTATATAGTCAATCAGTGAGTCTTTGTTTTCGTTCCAGAAGCTTGGAAGCTTCTCCTTGCGAGGATATTTACAGCATGACAGCTCCAACGTAATTTCAAAACACTGGGCCCAGATGTAGTTGTAATCTTGCATTCCACCTAAACACAAGCATATTTAATTTTTTTAAGGTCTGAAATTGGAGTGAAGCCAAGTATCACGTACCTTGGGGACAGGTGAATCAGACAGTGGTAATGAAAGTACACGTAAACAGGAAAAGATGAATTTGACATATTAGCAAGTACAATTAGAGCTTGACATTTTATTATCCAGGCATGACAAAGCAATCCTAAATACTCCCATATGGGTAACTGAATCAGAGCTGACTGATGTTTAGCTGTGCATCAAAATTAAGTGAGGGGTAGAGGAAGGGTCCTTTTTAAAAATCACAATTACAAAAAGGATTCTTCAAGGGTTTCCCTGGTGGCGCAGTGGTTAAGAATCCGCCTGCCAATGCAGGGAACACAGGTTCAATCCCTGGTCTGGGAAGATCCCATGTGCCACAGAGCAACTAAGCCCGTGTGCCACAACTACTGAGCCTGCACTCTAGAGCCTGCGAGCCACAACTATTGAAGCCCGTGTGCCTAGAGCCTGTGCTCCACAACAAGAGAAGCCACTGCAATGAGAAGGCCACACAGCACAACGAAGAGTAGCCCCCGCTCGCCACAACTAGAGAAAGCCCACGCACAGCAATGAAGACCCAACGCAGCCAAAAATAAATAAATTTATTTTTAAAAACAAAGGATTCTTCAAGTTACATTTCTTCCTAAATTACCTTTTAAACAGATATAAACTAGAGTGATATTTTCTTTTAAAATATTTCTACAAACCATTCATAAACACATTTATTCTGTAAAGCTAAGTATATGAATTTGGAGGAATAATAATGCCAGTGTTTACTGAGTGTTTGCTCTTGCTAGGTACTGTTTGAAGAGCTTCACCATCCACTCATTTAATCCTCACAGTAATTATCACTCGTATTTTACAGATGAGGAAGCTTAATCACAAATGGTAGGTCACGTGCCCAGGGATTCTTGCCAGTGAATGGCTGAGACTGGAGCACAGGCCATCTTCCTAGCGCCCCCATGCTCTCAGCCATCACACCGCACTGCATTTGGGGATGAGAGGGAAGGTGCCATGCTGATTCTCAGGGAGCAGGGGAAGACCCAGGCCCCTGGTACTTCTGGGGTTACCACTGCCCATGCTCACTTTCTAGTTCTTACCTCTCAACACCCTATTTTCAAAGGGTTATAACTGTATTTTATAGTTTCTAAGATGCAAAACTTTTCATATTTTAAAATCTCTGAATTGGGAAGTGTCTTAAATTTGATGGCTGAATAACATCATTGGGTTATTAGTTTGGCTGGCAACTTTTTTCTTTCTTGGTGGGACATGTTTTACAATCAGTGGCATCTTGGATGTGAAGAAATACGGTAACTTTGAAGGAAGTAGTCTTTGCGAGATTTTAATTAGTTATACTTGATATCTGCCCAGTGAAATATGAATTCTCAATTTCATCAGGGTATTTGGGAAGTAACGAAGTAAAAAAAAATTATGCTCATAGAATGGTCAAAATATTATGTCAACATTGAGTAATATCTATGTACGTACAGATTTTAGCCAGGAAGAATTACTCTGTCCTTTCTTTTCCTTTACTTACAAGTTTTGTATTTCTCTCTGACCTCATTTTCACCAGGAAATAGAAGAAGGAAAAAAGGAAGAGAGAAATGAAACAAAACAAAAACCCTTGGCTGGATGGCTGTGTCTCAGGTAGAAAGAAGTTAAATGGCAAAATAGGCGTGCAAAACAGGTGTGCAAAGCACGCTGGATGGAGAATACCAAGTGTGGAGGGTGTGTGCCACTCCAGATAATGCCAGGCAGGCCTGGCCGAAAAAGCCTCCAGGCTGAGCCAGAATGCTCTGTTCTAAGCGCCTCAAAGTTTCTGGCTCTGCCCTCTTTTTTTCTCACAGAGATACACAGCTGACCCAGGCACACTTGGGAACAACTCCCAATAGCAAACTTAGGTTCCTAGTTAATCTCCCACACATCTGGATCTGTCTTGAAAGTTACAGACAATGCACATGAAGGACAGCACTGCCACTGGGCAGGAGGGGGCCCTCTCCTCCCTATGGAGAGTAGTGAGCGGGGACTAGGCTACAGCCCTGTGGTGGGTGTGGGGAGGCTGTCTCTCGGATATCGGAGAGAAGTTTGGGATGTTGTGGTATCTGGCTGGTCCTGGTTCCTCTCGCTTGTGGTCTATGCTTATTTATATTATCTGGAAAGCTGGTGGAGACCTGCCCAGACACAAAAGTCCCAGCTTGTGCAAGACTACTTGATAGCCTGGTGCATCCAAAGTGACAACTGAGGAAGTAGGCTGCATGCAGAAACGCAGGATGGGGGTTGCTGTTGGTAGGGTCAGCTGACCTGTCTGGAAGGGGCACTTGCCACTGAGGCAGTGGAAACCTGGTTCCAGCCCACTGTCTCCCCTCTCACCCTTCTGTCCTAGGTCCCTCCTATTCTCTGTCAATTTCCAGACTAGGACTCTGACACCCCTGGGCTTCTGCTTATATTATTCCTTCTGACAAGAACACCCCTCCACCACGTTCCCTACACGGCCAGCTTCTCACTCCCTCCCTCGCCTGGCTGTCCTGTTCCAAGGGAGAAAAACTAGAGGGCTCTCTCGTTTAGCCTGCAAAGTGGTTTTAAAATCAGGAGACTTCATGGAAATATCCAGCTTGCTTCACAAACTGGAAGATCTGGCAATATTGCCCCCCACTGCTGCATGGCAATAATTACCTTGTTCTAAGTAGCAGCTGTCCCCACTGGATGAGACATAAGCATTACATTTCTCTAAGGCCTTCACTACTCCCTGATGTATTTTGGATTTACACCCCTGTGATACACTGTACCTTTTCTAAATCTCTACTTTTAAAAATTTTTACTTTTTTTATTTTGGCTGCGTTGGGTCTTCCTTGCTGTGCGCGGGCTTTCTCTAGTTGCGGTGAGCAGGGGCTACTCTTCGATGCGGTGGCGGGCTTCTCATTACAGTGGCTCTCCTTGTTGCAGAGCACGGGCTCTAGGCGTGTGGGCTTCAGTAGTTGTGGCACGCAGGCTCAGTAGTTGTGGATTGTGGGCTCTAGAGCGCAGGCTCAGTAGTTGTGATGCACGGGCTTAGTTGCTCCGTGCAACTGAGATGTGAGATCTTCTCAGACCAGGGCTCAAACCCGTGTCCCCTGCATTGGCAGGCAGATTCTTAACCACTGCGCCACCAAGGGAAGCCTTAAATCTCTACTTTTGTTCACACTACATGCCATCACAATTATTTATTTGTATGTTGCTCTTCTCTATTAAACTTGGGCTTAATATCTGTGTCCTGTTCATCTTTCCTGGCACAGTTCCCAGCTCCAAGGTAAATGCTGAACCAGTGTCTGAAGTTAGGAGGCTTTGGCAGTGGGGAACATGTCTGAGCATCTCTCAAATGATCAGTTCCCCTCACTGCTCTGTGATATTAGCTGACAGAGACATGACTGAAGGGACTGCGCTGTGCCTAACTTTTGGCAACTGCTGGGGTGAAGGCCAGCTGGCACCTCTGGGGGAAGGCAGTAAGGAGAATAGCAGAATGAAGAGAAACTCACCTTTGAGTGGATACCAAAAGTATCCATTTACAATTCCACCAGGAAACTCTATTTTAGTTCTACATGGATTTCTTTTCCTCATGTCGGGATTTCTTGAAGCGTAGGTACGTGCAAGATATTGAAAAACATCATCATCAGGGGTTAAGCTCCGAGAGTATAATGTTCCAGTGGCTGTACATGAAAGACAGACCAAGACCTTTTAGATGAAGTTATAGTTGGAGGAAACACACCATATTAGCACATACATCATCATATCACACACAAAGGCTCTAATTTCCTAGTGAGATCCTCTACCCACTTCCACGAATACTCCCTTTACTCCTCTTCCTAGTTTTTAATGGACCTACAGAAGGCAATATTACACAAAACAACCATGTCCATGTCTAAACTCCTTCTCAGTCAGCTTAGAAGTTAAATACCCTCTTAGTCACCCTTGCTGATTTCTGGAGGTCAGTAAACTTTCCTTAGGTACTGCAGGGATTAAATGAAGCCACTCGAATACTTTAAGTCCTTGGTACATACCTTATCCCACAGTTTTAAGAGGAATCAGGAACTATTACTTACATGATTAGTTTTATTTATTTATTTATTTAGCCGTGTTGCCTTTTGTGGGCTAATTTAAATCCCAATTTTACTGTTTCACTGATGAATGTCAAGTAATCCCGTGTTGTTATCAGTTCAGCCACCTTGCCCATCTACTGTTTATAAATTGTAGGAAGGATAGCTGGGGGTCAAGAGAATGGGGCTCTTTCTATCCCTGCCAGAGAAGTTAAGTGGGGAGAGGAAGAGTGTATCCCCATTCAGAGGCAGAGTGTTTGCAGTTTCACTCTGGACTTAGAAAGCAAGAGCTGGGCCCAAGTTTGCTTACCTGGAACACCATTATCAAATGGGTAACTGGCCACCAGGGCACCACCGTGGAGGTTTGCAGAAAGGACAAATGTCTCTGTATTCAGCCACTTCATGACTGCCACAGTTTCAGGCTGCCTCGGTACAGTATTAAATTCAAAAGCATCGGGGAAATTTCTATTCAGGTCATAGAAGTTACTATTTTCCCTTTAAAAGAAAGAATTTTTTAGGGTTTACTGTTGCTGTCTGAGGGAGCAGATTCGTGCAGTGTGTAGACCTTTGCTTTGGGCTCCAGGTGTTTTTCCAAATATGAATACAGAGGTGGTGGACGGTTGCCTTGGCAGCCTCCAGTGAATCACAGCTGGCATTCACACAATATGTTGTCCCCTCCCGTGTGACTTGTTCTTGCCAATGGGACAGTAGTGATTCGGCTGTAAGCAGAGGTCTGATAAGTGTTTGCATTTCGGGGCTTTTGCTCTCGACACTCCCATTTGGAACCCTGAGACCCCAGTGCTATCCACGTCAAGGGTCAATGTGCAAGAATGAGGAACCCAGGTGACAGCCAGAACTGAGACTCTAGAGATACGGTCCCAGCCAGACCCCAGCTGAAGCCCCTGACATCATGGCATAGAGATTAGCCACCCCTGCTCTGCCCTGCCCAAATTCCTAACTTACAGAGTGGAGAGTAACTAAAGAGGTGGTTGTTTTAAGTCCCTCAATTGAGGGGCAGTTTGTTCCATAGCAAGTGGTAACAGAAACAACAGGAACATGCTATTCTATACAAACGTATTTCTGAAAAGTGGACTGGCCATGTTTAAAGAGGCTAAGAAACTTAAACGGGGGAGGGAATCAAGTGGTGATTTATTAATCTTTGGTAAAAACAAATTTTTAATTGCACAAATATCAGTGTTTATCAGACATTTGAGAAATTCCAAACTTCCTGAGGCTGCTTGAAACACAATAAACTTTAAATCAGAAATACTACAAGACTCACCCTTCTTTGTGATTAGTTCGTGTGCTGGCTTAATAAATCAACCTGTTTATTGAGGGTCTAGGTACTACCCTAGGCCCTGGGATTTAACAGGGATGAACACACGGGCAGCATTCCTGCCCTCAGGTAGACATTAAACAAGAAATGAGACATTAAAGATTGTGCTATGAGGGTAAAGTGCCAGGTGATGTGAGAATAATTGGGGCTCTAATATCTGATAAGTTAGGGAAGGAGGCTTTGAGGAAATGCTGTTGAAGCAGGGTGCGGGGGGGGGGGGGGGGGGGGGGGGGGGGGGGGGGGGGGGAAATGCCAGGGGTGAGAAGGCAGCTGGTGGTTGCAGAAGATGAAGGGAGGTCTGAGCAGCTGCGGCAGGGTGAGTGCGGGGGAACAGGCAATGAAGCCGGAGCAGTGAGGCAGGCGCAGGGGTAAAGCAGCCTTGCTCAGTATTTTACTTCTCAAGGTCAAAGCAGTGGGCAGCCCTGAAAAGTTTCCAGCACAGCAGCGACATGACACAGGTTATGAGATGGTTCGCTAACTTCTCTTTCCAGGGCGAAGGGGTCTGATCTGATGGGGGGCTTATTATGCTTTTGTTGTTTTAAATAAAGATAGACTAGCCCGTGCTTACCTTCCCTTATTGTAAAAACAGTCAGGCTTTAGAACAGCTTCGAATCCATCTGGGTTCATTGAAGGCATGATGTGTATCCGGGTACTATTAATTAGATTTGTGATTTCAGGGTCTCTTCCATCGCTGGTTACGAGATATTCAATTAAATGGAGCAGCAGTTCCCGCCCTACAGCCTATAGGTGTTAAACAGAGAAGAGGATATTGTTAGGTGAGAGGAAAACAGTCCCCAAAGCACAAATTCCCCAACAAGAAGCACTACACATGATATGTGAGACCAAAACCAGTTGTCAGACCACCGTTTCTCTGGTATACTGACACTCTGGCACGTGGCAATCCATCACTGGTGTGCTGCAAAACCTTTGTGAGTACAAGGTTTTTTTTAAGGTAACTTAAAAAAAAGTACCTATAAGTAAATAATTTACTAAAAATGAATTAAGAGTTGAGTAAAGGTTATTCTTATTATCCTACTTCCAGTTTGTCTGTCTTCCACATACTTCCTGGAGTGGTGGCGAGAGGGGGAGCTAGAGATCAGGCAGGGAGTTGTGCGTCTCCACAAGCATGCCTGGCACACGGGAGAGCCGTGGTGCGTGTCTCGGTGGATGGTTCGTGGAGAACCACTGCAGTAGATATGTAGATTTTAATAGAGAAAAATCTGAATTTGTAATATGCATGATTTAAGTAGGTTAATTTAAATAGGTCTGATTTTCATATTCCCCCGTTTCCAAGTTCTTTTATCTCCAAATTCCCCTCCTGCACGTTTGTGCAATTTTTGCTGTACCTCTATATTTCTGATTTCCACATCCTCATGTTTCTTTGGCACAACATCCTCACAATTTTTTGCCATATCTGCATATTATCTATACTATTATTTAGTTTGCATTTTCTTTAAATTGGCTCACTTTTTACTTACATTAAAAATAAGAAACTTTGTATAATTACCATTTTGCTAGATATGTTTCTAATTGTATAGTAAAATAAAAGCATGACTGAAAATAAACATGGTCACATTCACCTAAAATTACCTTATGTACCAACAATGATTGGGAAACTGAAGGCCTGTGAAAGAGCTTGCTTTATAATCCCCAAGGGAGAGATTTACTTTTTTTTTTTTTTAAAGGAATTCACATATTCAGTCTTATTCTAGAAAGATTTGATTAGGCTATATTACTTTTCCCCCGTAATCCTGAGTTCAAAGATTCTGCTTCTAAGTAAGGAATATTTACCTCTTACATGTGATCAGATGTTGTAGAGCAGTTAGTATATGGGAAATCAGGGCAGCAGGTGGTTAAATAAGGACAGTGCTTCTGGTGCATTAATGAAGGCCGTGGGCAGGAAAAGAATTTTCATTTATGACTGCTCTGTAGCAATTCATTGTTGGGACAAAGGATGAGCAATTCCATACTTTATGCCCCTCGCTGGCAAGCAAAGAGATCACATTTTATGAATTTGTTACCCTAATGAACACAGAATAATTAAAATGGAACTAAGAAAATTTTAAATATGTAAATTACATATTTATAGGTAGCCATAAAATTCAGAGTAGAAGTAAATTCCATTCTGACTGCAATTTTTTTCCTACTCATGTCTATCTTCTTCCACCACTGTGATTTTTGTTTTTACAGTCAAAATTGTCACTTGAAAAAGGTCCTTACAAACCTTACAAAAGGTGCTTAATAACCAAAAAAGTCAAGTGAGTCACACACTGGGTTTCCAATTCAGTGTTTTGGAAGATCACGCACATCTGGACACTCCTTACTGGCTTCCCTGAAACCAGAGGAGGAGGGGCTGGCAATTTTAAGCTGTGAAAGGTGGCTTTAAAGGTGGACAGTGTAGTTGGTTGAAGGGGCTTTTCTGGACAGGGGTTGGGGAAGAGAAAAGGTCAAGGAAAGAGAGAAGGAAGTGAGATTTCTAAATGCTGGTTGGAGACTGTAGGATGGTTCCATTAGAGGGACGTACCAGGAAAAACCTGAGGCCCCTCTGAGTCCCAGGTTAAGTACCAAGTGAGATATATTGGAATCCCCGCATGGTTCTAAATGTGAATTTCCTCTTAACTATCTGAATCCTACATTCTCAAGCACACCCAAACTCAAGACAGGAGTTGGCAATTAAATTCATCCACCCACAAGAAAATGAAAACAAAGAGTAAGAAGCTGTGATTAAGCTATAGAACTAAATTAAGCAACTGTGGTGGTGTGGGTATAGGATAGAAGGTAAAAGTTAAGGTTTATAGCTAACGGCAAGGGTGGGTGCCGGGGGGAGAGGAAAGGAGAGGACAGAAGACTTTTCAAACTGCTAATTCCTTCACTTTTCCCAAGAATGGGTCATAGGATATTATCCAAAGTGTAAAGATATATATATTTCAAATCATTATAATTTCAGTTTTTCCTTTTTTTAAAATTCTTTTCTTTTTAAAAACCCCACATTTGTTTATTTATTTATTTTTTTGGCTGTCTTGGGTCTTCGTTTCTGTGCAAGGGCTTTCTCTAGTTGTGGCAAGTGGGGGCCACTCTTCATCGCAGTGCGCAGACCTCTCACTATTGCGGCCTCTCTTGTTGCAGAGCACAGGCTCCAGGCGCGCAGGCTCAGTAGTTGTGGCTCACGGGCCTAGTTGCTCCGCGGCATGTGGGATCTTCCCAGACCAGGGCTTGAACCTGTGTCTCCTGCATTAGCAAGCAGATTCTCAACCACGGCGCCACCAGGGAAGCCCAAAGTTTTTCCTAATTTTTTGACTTTAGAAGAATCTTCTGATAATTTCTTATTTTGCTTTTTTTTTTTTTTTTTTTTTTTTTTTTTGCTGTACGCGGGCCTCTCACTGTTGTGGCCTCTCCTGCCGTGGAGCACAGGCTCCGGACGCACAGGCTCTGTGGCCATGGCTCACGGGCCCAGCCGCTCCGCAGCACGTGGGATCCTCCTGGACCGGGGCACGAACCCGCGTCCCCTGCACTGGCAGGCGGACTCTCAACCACTGCGCCACCAGGGAAGCCCTGATAATTTCTTATTTTGAGAAAATACCAAGTTCACCAATTATTTTCATTTCACTTCAGTTCTATTCTGTTAAATTCAAGTAAAGTTAAATCTCATACTTCTTATTTAAAGATAACACGTATAATATGACACACATTTCATTTTATATCCTTTTGATTCCTCTCATTCTATTACTGTAGAGATACACAGATGTCTAGAATAGCATCTGGCAAATACTAATGATGGTGATTTCTGAGCAATAGTATTCTGAATAGTTTTTATTTCCTCTTATTTTTCTAGTATTGCTTTTTAAATTAAAGAAACCTATGTTATTTTTACAAAAACAATAAAATCATGATTCTTTCAAGGTAACGAATGTGTGACCAAGGTATTTTCTGTTTGTCTCCATATTCCAAAACAAACCACAAGTTCATAACTGCAGAGGGTGAAAGAAAAATCTTGGAAGTATGATAAAGAACCAATTAAGAGTTAGATAATTAAAAAAAAATGGTGAGGTAAACAGATGCAATTTCAGAGGGAGTTAAACAAAGTCCTCTTGTTTTCTTGGACCATATTTTCCTGTCTCTGTAACAGCAAATTTATGCCACATATTATTCAAGTTAATTCTTCTCAACCTTAATATAAATGTCTCAAACACTCATTCATGTTTTATGTATAGACCTCCCTTTGTTTAAAATTAAGTCTTTGAATATGAAACCTTAGAGAGACTAAAATTTTAAAAAAGAATGGTCAAAACTGTTTCCGTTAGCTTAACCAGCCTTTCATTTAGCTCCTTTTGTGAGAGTGTGGACTTAATGAAAGAATCCCTAATGAAGAGCCTGAAAGGCTGGGTGAGCACACCAGCTTCTAGAGTCTTTCTCTGATAATTCATCCGGTCATTAAGATGGCAGGAACCCAGGATGGACCTAGAGATTGTCATACTGAGTGAAGTAAGTCAGAAAGAGAAAGAGAAATATTGTATAATATCGCTCATATGCAGAATCTAAAAAAAAAATGATACAAATGAACTTATTACAAAACAGAAACAGACTCACAGACTTAAAGAAGGAACCTATGGTTACCAGGGGGAGAGTGGGGGGGGAAGGGATAGTCAGGGAGTTTGGGATTGATGTGTACACATGTCTACATTTAAAATAGGTAACCAACAAGGACCTACTGCATAGCACAGGGAATGCTAACAACCTAAATGGGAAAAGAATTTGAAGAAGAATAGATACATGTATATGAATCACTTTGCTGCACACCTGAAACTAACACAATATTGTTAATCAACTATACTCCAGTATAAAATAAAAAGTTTAAAAAAAAAGATGGCAAGAACCCAGAAAGCAGAAAATAAATTCTTTATCAGTTTATCTTCAATTCAGTCAAGTGGGAATTTGTTAGATAAAAATCAATGTTCTAGCACTTCTAAGAACAATTGGAAAACAACTTTGAAGCAACAATCCACAACTGGGTAGTGTATTGTGCGAGAGTGAATTAGAGGGTAGTACCAACACTTCAGCTCTCCTAATGGTGGAGTCCGTTCTTGAAATGCTACACTGTAATGCAGCTTCTGGGGGAAAATAAGCCTGTCAGTTCTGGGGCTCCACATGGTGTGTTACAGACTTAATTCATTTGTCTTAATGCCTAGCTAAATCCTTCATCTTCAGATATTAGCCTAATATTATCTAGCACACTTTTCCGTGGCCTCCCCAAGTCTGGGTTCCATGACCTGCCTAGGCGGTCCTTTAACTCTCCTCACCTGTGCTCTCCTGACAGTGTTCACACATATTACAATGACCTGACTGACCCTGACTGACCCCCCCCCCCCCCCCCCCCCCCCCCCCCCCACCCTTTTTTGGCAGCGATCCTAACCCCCCTCCTGTGTAGCCCTGGTATCTCACCCAGCTCCAGGTATATCATGTGCTCAATAAATGATTGTTGGCTACTGTTGCCAAATCCACTACAAAGTCATGACTATTCTGAGGAGGAACTTTCTGAAAACATGAGGACGTAAGGTTCTCAGTGAGAGGGGGTATATAAATGATCAAGTTAGTTCATTGCAAGGACGTTCAATACTGAACACACTTCACAGGGCTGGGGGCCAGCAATTCTGATCATGCCAAGGACTCGACAGCCTGGTCCCCCGGCCCACCCTCACCAAAAAAGGGAGATGGAGAGAAAGAGGATAATTACATGAGGAACT